GCTCTTTTACTTTAATCGAACTTAATAAAGTATCAGCTCTCACAGCCATCTGCTGCAAACATTCTCTGCCCTCTTTACATTCAACAGGCAGCGATAGGCAAGCCAGCTGTGTGTGCAGCGACATGGATGGTAATAATGTGCCTTGCTCCTCAAACACACACACACACACACACACACACACACACACACACACACACACACACACACAGGCAGGAAAATGTCCTCAATGTCCGATTTGTTCTCATTAGGATCTGAATGATATTTGGAGCTGACATTTTCACTCCCAGGTGGGGTCGTACACTAAGTGTGTGTTTGCATGTCAAATGAAACAAACTCATACATAAATTGATTGCAGCCAATCCCCTTGGTGCTTCACTGTTACAGCACAGATGTGCAAATATGGCCTCTACTTTTCTCTTTCTTGCTTCTCCACATAGTGTCTGACAAGTCTTTGTAGCATTTCCACAATGCATATTCCAGACTCATCAACTAATGCATCCAAGATTCATGAGAAACCCAGGAGGGATTTGTTGATTTCTGTCAGGGTGCGTTCCCTCTGAGCCCCCTGGTCTCTTACCTTCATCTCTTTAAGACCTGCCATCCTCCATCCATCCACAAGATGTCCCCGTACTTTTTCCTGTTTTCAGCAGGCTGTACATAAAAATGGACGTAGACTCTGTGTCCAGAAAGTGAAGCCAATGCAGATAGTGCTTGAAATCTGAATTCTCTGGAATGACCAGCAGAGAGCGACTCGACTGGTTTCTAGTCACAAGTTTCAAATCTTTAATACAGCATGTTCAGTTTGTAAATTATGCTCCCATTTCGAGTAAACTAGATGTCAAAGCACAGTATGTACTGAGGCGTGGATACTGTGTGATAAACGTCCCGAGTATGTGTGGGCGTGCCCTGTCCTTGACCTCTCTGTCATGCTCCACCCTTCGCTCTTCCAAATATCGGATTAAAAATCCACTGGCACTGGATAAATGTCAAACTCAACGTTTTGAAATAGCAGGTCACAAACAAATGGGCAACATCACAGTGAGTTGACCCTTGGTTTCCATCTTGTCTCCAATCATGAATCACCATTGCTGCCCCGCCCACTAACCTACCTGAATACAAGTTGCCTCATCGTCTCAGTTTTCTGTGGTCACTAGTTCTTTGTCAGTCTATCTGCTTTTGTGCCCTCATGTCTCCAGGATTCTGGCCCCTAAACTTGAAAGTGATGATGCTAACAAATACAAATGATAACGTCTTCAACCTTGTAAAGAAAGTTATCCCCATCCCAAGTATTTTTACAGTTTTGGTGTGAGCAAGATCCAAAATTGTTATATTTACACACACATATTTCATTTACTGTCCAAGATTTTTGTGATTGAACCATCCTCCATGTCTCCAGTGCAGTGGTTTACGCCTATGTGACTGCTTATAATGGAAGAAACCTCCCATGGTTTCATTAAATAGAGATTAGTGCAGACAGCAGGGTCTGACTCCTCACTTGAGGACAATGATACTTAATTGACGACTTATTTGGCACAAGCCAAACAAAGCAAAACAAATCCTGCATGGTTTGATTCACTTAAAGTGATAGTTCACTCAAAAATGAACATTCACTCATTATGTACTCATCACTATGCTGATGAAGGGGTGGGTGAAGAGATTGTTTAGAGTTTCAGGGGAAAATAGTGTTGCAGCCAAATCCAATACGATTGAAGTGCATGGTGACCGATTCTTAAAACGTAAAGAAAACAAGAAAAAAAACCATTAAATGCCTCCATACTGCCCCTGTGGTGTTCGGCAAGAGGGTCAGGGATTAGCAAAGAGTCAATAGCTTTCCACTTCCATTAAATTTAAATCGTCTTTGTGAGATTGATTTTAGTGTCGCAGTATGTGTCTGGGATTATGAGACAGTTTTGTTCAGTTGACGGCTAGTAAGCAGCTTTTAAAAGACTGCGGCAAAACATGTCTTTTACTGTTTGGACCTTAAAGAATCCACTTACCATGTTGATCAATATGTGACACAAGCCATACAAAGTGACTGTGCGCTTCTTTACAGCGAACAGAGAATTGACATTGACGATTAAAGATTAGTGGCTCCTTAAATTGGAGCACTACCCCCCATCATGTTTCTGCTCATCATCCCAGAAGTGATGCACTGCTGTAGGCATGTCTTGCCAGTACCTTTGCAGTGGATGTGATGTAACTCCCATATCAGACAGCACTTAAAACATCAAGCCAAAACCTCAATGTGATCATTGACCTTTGGAACCACATCGTCCAACATGGAGACTATGTCATGGATAGTTTCTATCTAGCTTTATATGAATGTAATTTTTTTGTACATTTTGTCATTTGTTTGCTATTAATTGCTGCATTGTAGTGCATTCTCTTTTAAAATGTTCCTGCATTGGGACCGGCAATGCAAATTTGCTGATTTGGTAATGGCTAACTGGTTCAATGGTGTTGTTGTTCATGGCCCCTGTTGAATAAATTAATAAAGTATAAGCAATATTAGGATTAATTGAGATCGAATTGTAATGCCAAAGGGATTATAGGGACGGACCCTCAGAAACCTTAAGACCCTTGGAGGTATCGTCCAGCACCACATTTCCCTTCAGCGCCACAAGGTCTTAGCATCTTTCAGCTAACTTGGGGGGGTTTACATCTCACAACTTATCTGTTTTTGTTCATCCTTTCACTGTTCTTATTGATGCCGAAGAACCTACCTCAGCAGCAAACACAATTACTTGTCGTGAGCATGTATCATTTAATAATGGATATCCTTCTTGAGGTCACCAAAAATGTGACTTTAATGTCTGCTGGAGTTCTCCAACATTAACTTTGATATGTCACTGGGACATGAAGAAAGAAACATTTGTGACACGGGTATAGTCGGGGGCTATCGCCACTGTCTATAATAGCAGGGGTTGCAGCTGCCCACAGATCTGCGTGCTCAATCTACTCGTGATTTGGCTTTGTCCTGGATAGTTTCAGGTTGTTTCTGCTGAAGAGATGAGTGTCTGTCAGCTGGGCAACACCTCACACTTCTTCCTGTGGGTTCAGTCCCAAATTGTCATTCGTCAGTGACCAGTCTTTGAGGCAAGCTTCCCTGTGGTGCAGGAGTCCCTGTGTCCTATCATGAGATTCTGAATCGAATGATGGAAGAGAACTCTAGGTAAAGAAAATATCCTTGGTTCTCTGAAATATAAGTGAAGTACAGTATCTCACTGGACCAACCACCTTGCCTGGAGCAAGGAATGTGTACTTACTTAAGATGAAGAGATCGTGTCATGCTCTTATAGCAAAAGGAAGCCCTTCCTCTAGGGAGCTGACATCTCATTGGCCTGCCAATCAAGACTGGCAAAGTATAAAATAGCTTCTGGGGGAAACTGCAGGAAGCGTGTCCACAGAGATATCTGCTGCTATTTTAAACTAGTACCCATGATGGAGCTTCCTACATTTTAACCATCGTAAGATTCAAATCACAGAAAGTATGAGGCAGTAATGAGAATGGAGAAGGTGCTTTGTTATATGAAGATGTGTGGAAGATAGGAAAGCACAATGATTTCTTGAGCAGGTGACAGGTTTGATCAATTACGCAGTTCCTCAACTGTCTGGCTCACAAAAGAAACATGTCGATGAGACAGTGGCAATCAATGTGGATTTATTAATTAGATTTAAATATTGAAATGCTGAAAGTGCAGAGACAATATTTCAATATTGAGACCTAATTAAATGAACCCATATAAACTATGGATCTTGACTCTGGAGGGACTTGAACCCACAACCTTTGAATTACCTATATTATTTCTAGAAGTCCAATGCACTGTCCATGCATGTCTGTGTACTGATGACTGACGGATTGGTCATCCTGGCATTTTTCATGTCATGTTTGAGTTGAATGAGGGGATAAATTGATTAGATTCTGAAAACCACAGAAAGTGTGAAATTTGAGAGTGAACTGATCTATAATATTGACTCTGGTGGGACTTCAACCCACAACCTTAAAGGCTATTGTGTAGATCTTCACATATTACTCCAATGAGTATACTGTGTACACAGTGAAGACCATGTACACAATGAATCTTGTCAGTTTCCATTCACAATTGAATATATAAAGCACAACTGTTGTGGGACTCAAACCCACAACCTTTGAGTTATTTGTCTTATTGTGTAGAAGTCCAATGTGCCACACAGTCTCACTTCTATCTTCATCTTTGTCCTGACAGTTTTTCATTCACACAGTTCAACTGTCTGGCTCACAACAGAAAGGTTTATAAAACAGTAGCAATCAATACGGATTATATGGGTTAATTTAATTAGATCTCAACATGATGAAATCGAAGAGACATGGGCGTTTCAAGTTCTGACAGTATTTTATTTCAAACCGTTCTCACCAACCACATTGAAGTAAATAGTAACATCACTGTTGTAGAAGGAGCGGGTTCTTCTTAGAAGAAAACACCTCCTGTGTCTCGGGTGGAGGCGAGCTGGGATTTTGAGATGAAAGGTTGATTTGACAGGAGAGTCACCAGATCTATATCTCTTCTTCACAGAATTGACAGCTCGCCTCAAAATGAGAAACACGTGGAGACAGAGAGAAAACACACAATCCCTCTTTAGCCTCTTGGAGACTGTTGTCAGTTGAGAAGCAATTTCTGCTCAATCCGTCCCTCAAAATTATCATGAAGAGCAGATTGTGGAAACCTGCAGGGAACATAAACACGCCTAATACTAGCAATCAAGATTGTGAGATAAAAAATAAAAAAATATGCTTGCTGTAGAAAGTTGAGTAAAAAGACAAGGGTCGGGAGCAAATAACAAAACACCTCTTCAGAAGAAAGGGTGAGCATGTGGCTTGTTTTTCTGTAGCACAATCCTGAAGAGACACACAGTCCATATCTTAAAACAAAAGAAGATTACAGATGTTGACTGTGTTACTACAGTTAATCAAGTTTAGCAGTGAAATCTCGATAAACATTTTTTTTCTTTCCCCTCCTTCCTCATCTCTCCACTTGTCCTTCCACCCTGTTCCCCCTCTTCGTTACAGGGTTTGTCCCAGCCAGTGGGCAATGCCGTCACCCATGGGTGCCTCAGGGCAGGGCCGGATCAGAGATGGCGTGTGCAGGGTCGCAGGTGAAGGACACCGTGATGGCGTAGCGCGTCCCCCATGTTACCTTCTCCACGCGGTGGAGGTTCTCTGAGCCGGAGGAGAAGAAAGAGACTCGTCCTGAGCAATGAGAGAATGAGAGGCACTTTTTAGGCAAGAGGAGACTAAATATGCTTTAAAGGAAGAGTTCAACATTTTTGGGATATACAGTGTTGTTTCTTTCTAAGACTAAGATGACATGGGTATTATCATCATGATTGTGTTCCAATCAGAGCTGGGGTCAGGACACACTTAACATAGCTTAGGACAGGAGGCCAAGACAATAACTTTATTCAAAAATAAATTTGAGAACAAAAATCAATCACATGAAGCCTAATAACTTAGACAATGTACTTGTTTGTAAAAAAAATGTTTGATATTTTATTTGCAAAAGTGAGTTGAGAACAGTGACCTCACTCCCATGTCTGTGTTTGAGCCAGGACAGCCTGTCTTAGCGTGGAAACAGAAGGAAGCGGTCTCTTGCTACATCTACATTAACTAGTTTTATATAATTTACACCACACTACTCTGGGGGGTTTCCAACCTGTGAAAACAGAGACACCACTGGCTCTGTTTTAGTTTGAAAACTCAAGGGTGGCAATGACAAAGACACCTAAGTTTACTTTCTGATTAGGTCAGGACTTGACCACCGGTGGTGAATGTGAACAGCACTGCTAACTTACGGTGTTTGCACGCCAAGTCCATATTTTTCGTATATAGGTGAGGCTGATGTGTTTTGTTATTCAATTCATTCCAAAATTAAATTTGCAGTAGAAGATCCAGAAAAGACGTCAGGAACAAGGAGAATTTCATCTTCTGACTCTATCCAAGTCTATTTCAGGATGTCGGTTGCTACCAGCACTGAGACTGAATATTAAAAGAAGAAAACTAATTAATCCTGAACAGCTCAAACAACTATCTTGGGCGCCTTAGTCTGAAACAAACCCGTTCTGAAAAAATGTTGGAAAAGAAAGTTTCAGAGTTGGCGTGTAAATGTAATTGACAGAGTGTGAGGTTGTTTATATTTTTAAACATGCGTCAATTTTGGATGAAAAGAAAAAACAGTTCCACCTGATCGTTGGTCAAATTAAATAAATCCCTGTTGAATTTAAATTTGAATCTTGTTTGTAGTATTTTCAAATCAACAAATTGCAGAGGAAAAAATCTGCTTCCTGCTCACGGCAGCATGTGCATGCCCAGTGAACCTGGATGGTCATGTGATATGTGTTTCAGATGTAGTTGTATGGACTGAGATTATTATTAGTAAGGCTGTAGCCTGTGTCTGAAGTGAAGCGCTATCAACAGCTCACAAATGAATATGTTGTTTCTACATTGTTTCACCCCAAAAATGTTAATTTAAGTTGGGTTTGACAAACAAGTCACATTTACACTTTCAGCTAAGGTCAAACAGACAAGATGTAGTGTGTTTACTAGAGGAATTGAAAGTGTTGCTAGGAGTATTTTGAGCGTACTCAGATCCAAACTAGTTGCTTTCCTTTCCCTTCTTCTTTACGCTAAGCTAGGCGAGCCACATCCTGACTCCAGCTCTGTACTTAATGCAGACAAGACAGTGGTAATAATATTCTCGTCACAATCTTGGAAAGACAGAAAAATAAGCTTATCCCTCGGAAACACTGAAGGCTCCATTCAATATCTACATATTATGCAGCCTCGCTTGTGGGACTGATGGAAATTCGAAACACAAAAAGAAAGAAACCGGAACCACGGAAAGATAAAGTGGCCCCATGGACACACTCGACTTATTCCAGGAAGGTATTTTAGCAAATGCTGAAATTCAAACAGTGCGAGTTTGATGCGGTCGCCTCAGGGTAAATTATCTTCACTTATCAGAGGCTTTGCTTCACCGGGCCAGCTAATGAGCTATGGCACAACCTGCTCAGTCACAGATAGACATTTGCATTAATGTTTACATAGCTAGTCTGCTGATGTATCCCATAATTAAAAGATTTACATTTATAACATTTTTCCCACACACTTGTTGCATAACTTCCAGTTTCTGCTTCTCTTGAATGATTTGTGTCATTATGTCGATGTGAATAAAAAGCTGGAATCACTGTGCCACAATTTGTTTGCTTCATTTTACCTCCAAAGAATGCTGATGACACGTGTGTGTGTGTGTGTGTGTGTGTGTGTGTGTGTGTGTGTAAATCCCCTTGGTGGGGCATCTGCTGAGGACGTCAGGGGAAATCAGTGCTCACAGTTAAACAATGGAATTTACACTGAAATCCCAAAGAATGGAGAAAAAGAAAATTACTGCACAAACAAAACAGTGTGAGTGGCAAGACAATAAGTGCTGGTCCACATGTTTTATGTCATTGTAAACGGAGGGCATTTTCAAGGGCTTGAATTATCCACACAGCTTTAGATAACAGCACAATGAAGTAATCTTTGAAAATAATCCCTTGGAGTTGCCAATATATATGTTTGCGGTGTTCAGAGTGGAGGCGCGAGCAGATTCAGAACAGTCAGCAGAGCAGATTAGCAGTTACACAATGGAGGAATATTCACGTGAGACTTCACCAAGGTTTTACCCTCTTTAGAAAAGTCACATTTCAGGTTTAGGAAAGAACTAATAGAAAACCTAAAGATGCTTTGAGTGCAAGTCTCAGTGAAGTGAGGAACACACACTGCAGACATACATGTACATGCTTAAATATGAGCCGTCGCTTTTTTCAGCTCGCAAACTTTGTTAAAATCATGAATATTTTTAATACGTGCATCTTTAATCTGTAATATGCAAATTGCAAACAAAGTATGTGAAAAATATGTGATTAAAGCAATGAGCATAAAAAGTTAAGCATACATAATTAGTAATTGTACCAAAGCCAATACACACAAACTACTGTATTATACTGGTACTATTTTGTATCTCCTCAAAGCCACAACAGTCTGTAATACATCAGTCTAATAGGAGGACGTATATGAAACATTTTTCTAGAGCCTGAGGGTCAGTGATTTATCCTCTGATCTGCTGTGCACTGATGTTGTGTCTCTTTTGAGCTTTCTTGATGAAATGAGTTGAGAGGAGACTGAAAACATATGTTCAAAAAAAACTCAAACACCAGCAGTACTGGATTTCTGAAGCCAATTTCAATCGATTCAATAAAAAACTATGTGGGTGGGATTGATTGGTTGCGGTCTTTCATTACATGCTAGATCTTTTGCTACAGATATCATGGATGATCGAGGAGCGAGTGTGGTTCAGTTTCAGGGTACATTTATCCCAAACTGAAACTGGAAATTCTTTCAGTGTTCAAATGCAACAGTAGTTTGTTGTTTTCCTACACGTCCTCATGACAAAAATGCTCATTTATTTCCAAAAAGCACTTGATTGTGGTAAAATGTGGTAAATGTCTATGCCTATGTTACCTATATCACATGATCTAATCTTATCAACAGGAAGTTGATCAAAATACACCTGAAGATTTGAAACACTGATTGACAGACACTACAGCATCTGCTTGAGCACGTAACCAAAAGTGTTCAATCACTTCTGAGTTTGTTTGCTAATTTCAATCATTGAGAAACTACGTGTCATCAGTTTAACATTCTCTTTAAGGGCACTCCTCTGGTCGATTTATATGTTTATGTTGTTTAGAGTGTGCTAACAGCCACATGTCACCGACTTGGACTTAACGAGGTCTTTATCATCACTGACCCCATCAGGATGAGTGTGCAATGCTAACAATGTGTTAAACGATGTGTGACACCAGTTTGCTGCTGGCAATCTGCCAATAAAGAACACAAGGTGCACAGCAAATCAACGGACTGTCAGATCGATATAGTGGACTCATTATTAGTTAGTGGAGGATGAATCCCGCAGGGGGTTTGATTGCTCCAGAGGGGCCAGGATGATTAAAGGCAGATAAGCTGGCGTTAAGGGCCTTTCTCAAAATGGTGTTGATGAAGTAAGGGCTTTTTCCCTTTTCTCACCAAGGTTTAATGAGGTGAGGAATGCTGGTCTGGGGACTGAACAGGAGAAAGTCTGCTAACAAGCAGTCCCTCAACTTGTGTAGAAGGTCAATAATGAAGTGCTAAGGCACCAGGGCACTACTGACACCTGGTGCAAAGCAGGGCCAAGCGCAATACAAATGTCTGTAGTTTCAGACCATTGCAGTAGTCATCTTCCCTTCCAGCTCCTGTGTGGTTTAAATAGCAAATGCACTTGTGCTGATCTTAACACTGATGATTCGTGTTAGGCACATTGTTGGCACACTTGAGGCAGTGAAGAGCAATTACACTTTGACCAAAACAAGAGAGCACATAACTCTGGTTTCTGCATGTTACGCCCCAAAACTCACTTGTGCTATGTGCTTTGGACCATGTGTTTGGATTAAATAGAGCCCTGAGAATCTCCAGCGATGCAAAAGGCCCTGCGAGACTGTAGTTACACAAGGTTGTTCTCACACATGCAAATGCAGGTGACATGATAAACGCTCCTTCCAATGGTTTTACACCAGAAAAGGTCATGATGAAGAGGACTGTTAGATGCAGGAGATTAAAAATGGCCTTTGCAAATTCATTTGTTTAACCAAAAATTAATTTTGGTGAGTTATTGTCAGCATGACAACAGAAATGCTTGACATTTACTAGCTACGGTAAGAATTTGCCATTGTTCTCTGCTTATAGTTAATTGTTTATAGAAAATCTTTGATTTTTGACTGTTGGTTGGACAAAACCAACAATTTCAAGACATCACTGTATGTTCTGGAAACTGTGATGAGCTTTTTTCATTCATCCTTGAGAAAAAGTCACTGATTGTGTGGAGTTCATCTCAGCTTTTGAAAACAGTTGTATAATGTCTGTTGTGGTTATGGAGGAAGTTTGTCAATTGGAGAAATTAACCCCCGATGATGTTGTCTTTGGCGTGAGCTTGGAGAATCCATGTATCAATTTTCTGCTGCTTTTCCGAGGTCCGGTCACCGTGGCAGTGAGAAACTAATTTCAGCCATCTTGTATCAGCGTTCTCTACAGTCATTACCCAAAGCTCACTATGACAGGTGAGGGTCTGAACGAAGATCGACTGGTAAACCCAGAGTATTGCTTTCCAGTTTAGCTTTATCTTCACCGCAATAGTCCATAGCAGTACCTGTTTTACTGCAGACACTTCCCCAACCCCCCTGTGGGCCTCCAGCTCCATTCGGCCCTTACTCGAGAACAAGACGACCCTGTTCAGACCTGGTGTTAAAATCATTCCTGAGATATTTAATCACAAGTGGTCATTTTAAATGGGCCCTCAATGTGATATGAGGTCATATCAATCAAAATTCATTCAGAGGTAGTCTAGGATGCATGTGACCACATTATTTTCGCAGTTTGAACTCGAATGTGTCCAGGGCCACGTATGAAGGAGATATGAAGTGTGCTTGTGGGAAGCGTTGGATCTAGTGTCTTCGAGCTACTATGAACTTTAAGTTTTGACCATTTGCAGGCATCAGCTGTGATGTGTCTAGTGGTCCAGACAGATTTTCCTTGTATTCAGTGTACGTTTGCAGGCGTGTGGCCACCAAGGTCAAGCTATGGTTTTATTAGCCCAGCTGAGGTTATCTAATTCCCCTGTGGTTGTCTAAGCCGGCAGGTTCACCCCCGATTGGCTCCTCTGACTGGTAGAAGAGCTTTTTTCGCCCCCTCTCCTTCTATTACTCTGTTTATATCTGCCAAACTCTTTATCTCTTTATCGCATATCTACACTTTATCTATCTCCCAGCTATTTGTCTGTCTGTGCCCACCCTTCACCCTGCCTCTTTTCTGTGCCCTTTAGGGGACGCTCTAACATTCAACAAATCCCACGGTCATCCCTCTCACTCTCTTCGTATCACCCAACTCCCTTTCTTCTTCCTTATTTTCTCTGCAAAAAAACACTCCAGCCTCCGTATTCCTGGTGCTCAATGTCTTTTCATTCTTGACTTTTGCTCTCTCCGACAGCCAAGCCCCGACTGTCTTCCTGGTGTCATAATTACACCATATTCATCGCTGTCACCTCTCAGCAAACTAGTCATCCATCAAGATATTAGAATCTGATTCTCACAAAGTCAAAACCTGTCAGTCAACTGCCCAGCATGCTACTCAACCTAGCTTTTGATGCATTATGCATGAATTTTCGCAGTGTATCCCACTTGGTGCACTTCTCTAAATAAAACCCACAGTGACAGGTCTGTCATATTTAGATTCAGGAGAATGCTCCTCACTGTGAATTCTAAACCTATCAAGAAGGACCTTAAAGAGACTGCACTTGTCCTACCTCGTATCCCCTTTTTTCCTTCACCCAGCAGGTTGCATTTGGCTGGAGATAACACTGTCATTATTCTCCTTGTTCTCCGGAGGCTGTTCAGAGGCGGAGTTGAATGCCGCAGTCCCTCTGTATGTCCTTCAGTCAGCGTCCTGCACCGCTCCATCACAGGACAACAGCCAGGGATGCTTCACTGACCTGGTATAAACTTCAGTCCTGACCGTTTATGAGCGTATCACTCAGGATGAATGTTAATACCAGGTCTGATCATGTTCTCTGGTGCTTGCTAAATTGGCAAGGGTCTAGTGTCATACTGGCAAATTGGGATTTTGATGGATAGGAGTCCAGATGATATAGTGGCGGAGGCAAAAAGAAAAAAAGCTATCAGAGAGGAAATGCTGCATCTCTGGACAGCTTCAAAAAACTCCTCAAACACAACCTGCTCACTTTGGTCTCTGGCCTCAGTTAACACTCCACACCGCCATCAGTGCTCAGTCTATTTCTGTCCTGTTTTGTGTGAATGAGTTTCTTTTCTTTTTTTATCCCTACTGACACATGTAAAGCAAACATGTCTCCAATGATATAATGCTTTAACAATGAGGATGTTCATTTTTCTGGTAGTAATACCATAATGATATTACAGTGGTAACGGAATTAACAGGTCAATTTAATTCCTCCATCCATGTGAAAAAAGACACATTTATTTATATGCACTTTCTTCAAATAATTTAGCAAAAACAATAGTCAAATTATAGCCCCAAGTAGGTGATGAAGACAGGACACGGACACAAAGCCATCAATCCACTTCCTAAAAGGCAATGTGAAACCAAACCTAACTGTATCAAATGTAAAAACAATGTGACAAAGTCATAACTCTGGTTCAGACCACTGTCCAGACTGTCAGGTGAGAAAACACTCTAAGTTGCAACAAACTTAACCAGACAGAACATATGCAATATTTCTAACCTATGCAACATCAACCTTTACACATTTCCCCTCTACAGTAGATTTGTCCTTGCACGTTGTGGAGGTCTGTTCCATTTAGTTGAGCTTTGGCTGCAACATCTGTTACAAATTCAGGGTTAAGTGCACATCCACTGAGCCATTTCTGGTGAAACAGGTCATGAATAGAGTTTGCTGTATGTTGTAAAGTATAAAGCCCTGAGAGAAATGACTTATTTTCATTTATTTTAGGTCTACAGTATGTAATTATTATTATTATCACTTTCATTATAGCAACCAGTCTGACAGAGCTCATACATGATGGTGAACTGGCCTCTCCCTCTTAAGCTTTACTCAATAAGTAGTGTCTTTTAATGACTTACAAAGCTGCATGTTTTGTACTTCACCTTGCTCCAAATCTTACTTCTGGGAAACCAGAATTGAAAAGTTTAAAAGGTTACGATGGAGCACATTGTCAAAATGGAAGTGCAAATCTAGAGCAAGGGAGTGGAAAACACACCATCCAATTTAACAAGGTCCCAGACATGATGGCAAACTCATTCCCCTGTTCCCCAGAGAACTAATCCAATTTCCCCTCACACTTGCCTCAAGTTGTCTAGATGCCTCCAGAATTTCTTTTTGCACAGGTAACTTCAATATACCCATTTACTTGGATACTTGTTATTTTTGGTCAATGCACAAAGAGAATAAATTAACACATAAAAGCCACCTGAGATCAAGATACACCATAAGAATGGTAAAGCCTAGTCCCCTAAGCCTGCGCTGTGCATCAGTCTGAACTGCTGATTCCCCACTTACAGAGGATTATGACCTCTTTGCTACACATGTTTGAGTACTACCACCTCCAGTTATCCTTTTCAGCTGAGTACAGCAATTATAATCTAATTCTAATTTATAATCCGCTGTGATAAGGACATCCTCTATTTATTCACCACTTAACAGGCTTTAAGAGCTGGAGCCAGGTGTTACTACTGGTAATCTAGTTTTTACAGTATCTTTCCTTACAGAAGGTCATACATCACAGTCTTTGAAGGCTGAATAGCAAAAAAAAGCACTGTGTGATACTGCGTTGGGCAGTTTTTGTAGTATCGTTACCTGCCCGTGGTTCCACTGTCCGGTTTCCATTTTGGTCCATGAAAATAAATCGTCCTCCACTGAAGTCAGAGCCGTAGTCAGACAGGTACAGAAGAGAGGTGTAGTCAAAAGAGCCATAAGTTACCTGTGAGAGAGGACAACAGTATTTGCATTGAGATAATTAGAACTACAGAGTAATGTTTTCCATGTAGTACTGCCATGCTGGCTGCTTTCTTATCTGAACACAGAGGTGTAGTGAGATAAACACTCAGTATGTGTGTGTGTGCGTGTGTGTACATATTTTCACCAAACGTGAGAATATTATTATTGTATCTCCAGAACATTTACTTTTGGCGCTGATCGCGCACAGTAGTCTACGCTCTTATGCACACCTGGTGCACAGAGCAAGGCTCGTCTCAAGCCAGATTGTCTAAGTTTCTGTTGTGTACATATGCTCTTGCATTCTTCCTAGCGTGGCCTTCTTGTGTATGGACTCTAGTTTGATTACAAGGTTTATGGCATTATTTCCTGCACCTTAGCCAGTTCCCTGCCTTGGAATGATCTCTCATATATGAACGTTTGGTGCCCCAGTAAAGTTACTACTCTTTCTTACCTACAGCTGACATCCCAAGTATTATCTGCATCTGAGTCATAACAATAATAATATAATAGTGTCACAATAAACATCTGTTTCAAATTTCTTGATAATACATTTCACATTTTAGTCTCAGTTTAAGCAGTAAACCAACCCATCAACTGAACCATTGACCATAAAAATTTTCATGGGGAGTACTATCCAGCCGATGAAAATAGCTAACACAAAAAAACATGTTTGGAGGTTTCATTCTAAAAAGTAACCACAATGACATTATCAGGGTATCTCAGGGTTGGGCTGGGACAATGACAGTTTTTCAAAGAAAGCTACAAACAAGCAGACACAAGGACAGATGCTGTGGAGCACAGAGAAACTGAGGCTTGACATTTACCAGGGACTAAAAGTCAGGGTATCTCATTCTCAGCTGCACTGCTTTTTGCTGGATCTCATCCAGCTACAAAAAGCTTTTGCAGGGCTGCATCGTGACCACTTTGTACAACATGTGAAGATTGTGCTCCTCATATTATATGGGTGCTTTATGTGTTCATGCTGCACTAACTGTTTGACCACAAAAAGAACAGAGCACAGTTTATCATAAGCTGCTTCCAGACATGCACTGTGCACCAGAGATCCTCCGAGTTTCTCCAGAGGAGGTGTATGTGTGAACTCAAATGTTCTACTGAGAGCCTCCAGATTTTCTGCAGACTTTCGCAGAATCTGATATGAGTGAATAGCAGGTGATCCCCCGCTGGATTCATGTGGGCGAGTGGGGGAGTTAATGAGGCATCGTACAGGTGATAGATGCAAAAATGCAAAAAAGACCGTACACGTAGAAGACACCAAAGGAGATGTCAACAGAGTTTTTGGTGAAAGGAGCCGATGCCTGTGTTGATGTGCTATTAACAAAAACATGTGATCTCTGCAATTGGTTGCTGTTGTGAACGTGTCTGAGAAGAGAACCCCCCACTGCATTGTGCATGTGTGAGCGGAAAACTGCGGAGAAAGTCCGAACCCAATTCTGCCGAGATGTCCTTTTTTTTTTGTTTATTTGTCATCACATTGACAAACGTGAAATGGATCTACTGGCAGAAACACTTGTGCGTTTCATTTAAGTTGTACGAATTGTTTTCTTTACCCTACAATCATCCCTTTATATCAAAATACTTTCTATTTACATCGGGAGCGGGTTTTCTCTACAGAGTCCACCACTGCACTAGTATTAATAAAGAAGAAACAGTGTATGACGTGAACCATTTACATAAGAGAATAGAGGCATGAGCCATAGGACTTTAAGAAGCTGCCTTGAAGGGCAATAACACTTATTGCAGAAGCTCAGTATTTGAAGTGAAGTTAAAATTAAAGTGAGAGCCAGAAGGGATTTTCTGGTCTCAAGGGGGTTATATGTATATTATCAGTGAAAGTATCTGTGACTTTAAATCTCTAAATTAATAATAATTCTTCCAGACATCAGTATTTCAGGAAATTATCAGAAAATCTATTTTAAGATAAATCTTTGAAGAAAATCAAAAGGCACAAGTGTTAATAGCAGTTTGGGTTCTGACATATCGCCTGTCGCTGCAAAGTTCTCTGGCTTTTCCTGTGTTACTATGCAACTTTTTATTTGAAATTCAAAGAAAAGAAAAGTTCTTATTTGACCTCTAATGACCCGTTCAAATCTGATATACAGTCTAGAAGCGCATTGGAACCACCATGAATTGGTTTGAGGGCAATAGGTCAAGCTGATAGTAACTGCCTAACATGGTCTGATGCTCTTCTAAACTGTAAATTTTGAATTAGAACAGATAAGTCCAACACAAACTTCTTCCCACATGTTCGAATTGGTAATATAAAAAGGGACAGCCCCACCCAGCTTGTAAGGTCGGTTCTTCTCTAGAAGTTTTACGAAAGGGATAACGAGTCACTGATTTGTTTTTGTGATTTACCTTATCTATATGTGGGTGCCAGTACTCGTCGTGTTGGGTCTTGGCTACCGTGCTGTTGATTCTGGAAAAGAAGGTGGGCTTGGTGAGGTACATCAGAGTTGGGTCCAAACCAAACGTCTCAGCGATAACTGTCTGGATTCGCCCACGTACGTTTCTGATGATGAAAATCACACAAAACATGTCAGGATCACTTCAAAACCACCATGTGGGCTCTCATCATGTTTTTTGCTATTTCCAACACCCACAAGATGCTTCCACAATATATGATGAGCATAATCAATTAACAGATGCAAGGCAAATTCGCAGTGGTTTATGGGATGTGCAAATTATGTTCTATCTTTACCCTTTTTTCCATTTTCCGATATTTTTTGCTCTGAATCATTCTCATAGCAGGAGATTTACTTCCTGAACCAGAGCCATTCGAAAAGCAATCTGTGGTCTCACCTGTTATCCACCAAAGTGAGTGAACTGAGGAGGCACCAAAGCGGAGCAACGTCAAGTGTTCACTTGATTTTTGATTTTTAGAAAACGTGAGAGCCCTGGTAATGAGTTAGGTTTGCTATAATGTTGCAAAAAGTGTCATCTCTTGACTGCACTGTATGTCGCTAGTTCCAAAAAATGTCAGGTATCTCATTTTGAACCAAAACTCAAAATATAATAAATGCATGATTTATAAGTCACCTGTAAAGCTGGAAATCCTCTTGTGTGAACACGTCCCCGATGAGATCCCCAAAGTACCTGCGGGCACATCACAAAGCCACAGATTGTTCCATGTGCAGACACAGCCAATCAGAGACACATGAGCAGACAGACACAGCGGGGGGGGGGGGCGAGATCCTATCTGTTGGCATAAATTAACGATTCACAGCACAGCTTACAGTGTGTCGTTACTAGGGCTCAGCCATCCGAACACAGCAGATACTAAACGTCTGACTGCCTCACATGAAGAGGTCCCAAGTGGGGCATGAAGGGTGGGAAGAGAGGTGAGTGCTCTATAATCATTGCTGCCTGATTAAAAGCCTGATGGTCCCTGAGGGTTTGATGTCAGCAGGCTGCCCAATGGGACAGGAGAAAGAAATGGGACGAAACTGAGGGAGAAATTAAGGGAGGGAGAAAGATCATGAGACCAAAATAAAACTGGCTCCTGCTGGCAATGATGAATGAGGTTGGTATGGATCACTAGACCTGGAGAATACAGGTCATAAGGACCAACATCAGTGAGACTGTTACCATAGTTTATCAAGTTTATTTATTGCTTAAGAGAAATTGAATAAAGACAAGAGTTGAGGAGTTCCCACCTGTAGATGTTGACAAACTGTTTTCCCATCGATAGTGCTCCAGAGTGCAGGTCCAGTATGGAAGCCTGCAGGGGTTATGGTCAAAACAGAAATGAGTGCAAATGATAAATCAGTCTTGGAAAAATAAATAACAGGCCGTTGATGAACACATGCATGACACATTAACCGTTTCAAGGTTCAGCTCTGTTCCCTCTGTGGCTTTCTTGGTTGTCAACTCCTTGGGGACCCTGCTCTGTTTTTTCTCAGGCCAGAAAAGTCCCCCCTGCTGTTCCCACTCCCTTCACTTAAGTATCTTAACACTCCATAAATAGGTTCTGTATTGGCTGGGGACCAGGCCTGTGGTGGATGGAGAGCAAGGGGCTAGGGCATGCCAGCGATAGGACTCCACATTTCATCTGCCAGAGCAGCTCATTGTACCAGTCAGCCCTCTAGTGCCAAGAGAGCCCCATCACAGCAGGGAGTCTGAATAATCTGTCTAAAATATGGGCAAATATGGGTTTTCTGGGCTGTTTGGTTTAAGCTGATTAACAAATCTGTTCAAATGATCAAATGATCATTTTACCATCACCATCAGTGTGTTCAATAAGATTGAGTTGATTCAAGGTAGGGTAAGGGTTACTACAGCTAGTGGTGTCTTTTAAAACACTAGAACTACACCTCTGTCAGCCAGTTAAATTGTCGGAAATATGAACACTCTGCCCTTCTGTTTCTGTGTTATGGTGTCACAACTGTGATCTTGCAACAAAGCGGACATTTTGGATATAAAGTTGACAAGGTGTTTATGAATACAACACAGTTTACAATACAATAATGTTATGATGACCTCAAAAACAAAGATTAATGGGCAGTTACCTCTGCCAAGCAGGCCGTGTTGGTTGGTTTTCTCTGTTTGTTTGTTTGATATGTAGCAGGATTACACAAAAACTACAGAAAGGATTACCACGAAACTTGGTGGAAGGATTTGGTATAGACCAGGAAGAACCCACTGAATTTTGGTCAGGGGGCAGATCCAGGATTTGTTTAGTTTTTTTACATTCTTTAAAATGTTGGCGTCAACATTTTCCTTGAATTCTCAGATAATGATTCATGGTGATGACAAGAAGCATCTTTAGAGGACTGATATTTATGGGTGTGTGAAGTTTGGGGCAGATCCAAATAAGGACAGTTGGGCCTTGGCAGAGGTGTGCTCTCGACTAAGAGACAATCTAGTTGTTTCCTGTAATGTAATACCTTCCTAGTTTTTCTTCATTTAGCTGCCTGATATGTCATACTTATGTTTATGTCATGCTTTAATAAATGGTCGGCAAAGATTTTGGAAAGAACATGCAAAACCCCCAAATTGGCCTCATATAAAGGAACAGGGAGAAAGGACACATCCAGACAATCAACACAAAGTTCCAAAGTGTTTATCACTGCTTCATCATTATATTTTTCCAATCATTTAATTTATGATGTACTTACTCCTCCCTCTGAACCAGCCAGTGCTAGCCCCCTCTCAGCCAGCCTGTGTGTCAGAGACAGAAAGCATAAAAATATTCACCTGCACAACACAGACAGGGGACAATGACTGGAAAAACAAAGAGGGAGAGACAGAGAGAAGTCACCCTGCACTCTGTGCTTACCTCCTGAGGATCTGAGCCTCCTCCCTCGTTACCACGCTGTCTGTAACTGCACGGCCACACGTCTGAGGGGTGCATCCTGGGAGAGACATGAGCAAGAGACGGTTTGAAAAACAATAGCACAGTGTCTTCATGCACTTTTCCTCGGTTTTTGGATGCTCTGGGCCCAAGAAAGAGAGAAGGTGGTTAGCTGAAGAAGAAAATGCAAGGTAAGGAATTCATCAGAGTTCTGTTCATTAACGCCACATTCAGCTCTTCTCTGCAACAACTGTAATATATTGCTCGAAGCTGGAGCCTCCTGCTGTGTTTTATTTAGACACTGGATATGCACAGTTTGTATTCTGAGCAGCCCACATATTTAACAAGACAAATTTCCAATTTGTCCTCTTCTTTTTGCTTCAAAACTGCCTCTCATTTCACAGGCGCTTAGGCAGACAGCTTAATCCAGTAGATTTGGACGTATCTGTGTAATAACTGATGCATTTTTTGAGTTTTAGAGAAACAAGTAAGTTTGAAGTAAGATAAGAAAGGAAAAATAGGAAGCAGTGGGAAATGTTTGTCATTAAGTAGAATATTCCATCATTTATTTACTGATTCTCCTACTTAAGACCATTTGGAATGAGTAGCCAATGTCATTGTTCAAATGGAAAGATGAGTCGTTCATCCATCAATTATCTGACCATGGCCCTCCTGCTCACTGCCACTCAAACACAGAGCTGAGTTAGTCGATCAAAAGAAAACGATTCACCAACTATTTTGATAATCAATAAATTCTAAGGTGTGAAGTTCCCAAAACCCCAGTTTTACATGTGTGAGTTTTTTAAAATCTGCCCTTTGGAAAGCATGATTTAATGATTTAAAATCCTGTTTGCATGTGGAAAAGGGGCTTGAACACAGAGGAAAGCATTTGTTTTGCAAAATATGAGTTAGTGTGGTCAGGGCATTAGTTTTAACATGGTTTCCCTCCCTGTGCCATTGGAGAGTTTAAAGTAAGTGTTATACGCTGACATCTTAAATTAGTGTCTTCTGGAGCATTTAAAACCATCAGTTTTTATCAGTGTCATTGAGGCAGATTTATTAACAGGCTCAGTAAAAGTTAGTTTTGTGACAGAAATGTTACTTGCTCAGACCTGTAACATTTCTTCAACCTATCCATGCAGGTCTTGAACTTAATGCTGTTGAATTCTTGCAGCACAAGGTTTATTACACAGAGAGAACGAACACACCAGCTCATTGGAAACCATTTCTGTTTGGTAGACATCATTTTACGTCAGAGAATCTTTTCTTGTCAGAACCAGCTGTGAAAATAAATGTCCCCTCTTATGCTGTAGGTAAAGAAAGACGTATAGCCAACAGCACTTATCACACCTTATATTTTCAGCTTTCATCCTCGCCAACTGCAATGATGAATGAATGAATAAATAAATGGGAGCAAATAAGCAATGCAATTTGAGTCCCAGCTGAAGCTCCAGTCAGATGTTATAAAACAGGGAGAACAGCGAAACTGATGACGAATTTATCACTAGAAGCGTGGTGTCAGCATCCTTCACGCTAATAATGATCTTTAGTGGCGTAAACAGACACACACACCTGTGAGAGAAGAGAGAGCCTTCTTCCTTCATATCATTAAATAATTTCCAGCAGTGACACCTAGCAGCATCAAGCATTTTACGTAAATGTCCTTTCTTGTTGAAAATGGCAGTGACGATCTTTGGATACCAATGTGTGCGTGACTGACCCATTTATTAGGAGCTTTCTGAAGCCAGCAGTGTTGAATATTTCATGTCTGAAAAGGGGCGTCTGAGTCTGGATTCTTTTTCAATGCTCCTTTCCTTTGCCATGATTGTAACGTACTCGACTCCAGTTGCTTTTAATGTGCTATATAAATATATCTGACTTGACTTGGCAAAAGTCCCACAGGTCATGCACGTATATATAATGCAACACCATTTTTTATGAATCATAAAATAGCCTCTTTAAAACCAGTTTTGTGAAACACTAACTTGGAATAGAGAGAATGTTTCCTCCTTCATTCCCACTCCTCACCTCTGTTCTTGTACTTTGGTGAGTGGGTACAATCTCCTGTGAGAAGTGTGTAAGTGACTGACAGTCGCAATTTAATGAGTCAGAGACAGGACCAGCAGGTTTTAGAGAAATGCTGAACTGTAGATCGGTTGAAAAGAGTAATTAAAAACCAGCTTTTATCTCCCATATTCAGTGAGGAAACTTTTAAGTTTGGTGCATTGGCTACAGCTGGGGATCATGGGTAATATACACCTTTCAGCTGTTTCAGTTCAGTGAGTGTGAGTACGCAATCAGAGCTCCAGTCAACACATTGATCATCTACATGAACATGAACACAGAGCCCAACAGAATCAATCACCACGTGTGGCTGCAGAGGGCGCTGTTGCTCAGTAAAAGTTACATAGTGCTGCTTTAAAGGAGTTTTTATTTTACACCCTTATTTCCGTTTAGTTTTAACTTTGTTTGAACTGAAGCCACACCCATATTTAAAAGAGGAATCTCCACTTCATAGTCAAACATGCTTAACATCAGCAAATGTCAGCAGTGCCTGAGACTATTTGAACTCAGCTTACTGCTCTGGTGTGTTTGAGATGTTTTACCTTAGATTTCAAGTGTATGAGCTGGTCCCTATTTGCTTCCACACAACTACTGTGTAGGTTTCAAGCATTAATTCAGTGGACCCCGTCCCCCTTGGTCAAAACTTCACTTCTACTAATATTATGATCACATAGGCTTGTGCTATGTTGCCATCTAGTGGGTTCTACGCCGATTCACAGAGAAATCGGGAGAACTTGTTTGACTGTTAATGATTTTAAAACATTATGCAAAGTGCCACAAAGTTTTTTTTTCATAAAATAGTTTTGGCCTCATCCCATCCCACTTATGTCTACACAGCAGATGGTTGCCAGCTAACTCCCAGAAACACTGTTGTGCAAGGACCGGAGCCTCACCTGGATAGCGTTTGTAGTTCTCATAGTCTTCAGAGCACTCGACTGTAAAGACTCTGGGTTGAGGAGAGACCAGCTCACCCTGTCTGACCAGTGTTTCTGTAACATCACGGTCCAGAGAGCTCATGTACCACCACGTAGAAGCCCCGCACGCAGACAGCACCAACAGTAGCAAGGCCATGAGTCCTCGGTACCCCCTCCATGCAGATCCCTGCCTCAAAGCATTACCTCTGACGAGACAAAAAAAAAAGATCAGGTCTCCTTCATTAGGCTGATTGTAGCAGTGTTGTCAATTTTACATTTGAAATGAAGAACTGGTGCAGAAAGTGCTTTTATCCTTAATTTAATTTCTCACACAGTCTAGATCAGGGATTCTGAACGAGCGGTTATACTACTTCAATATGAGCCAGCATTT